CACCTAATAACATTATAAATACACTAATATAGCTAACATGCTACTGAAAAGATAGGATGCTAAAACTACATCCAGAGTAAAAGTTACATTAGGTCTAAGAGCTACAAAGGGTACAGTTACATACGTCAAAAGTAATTTTCCTGATACGTGTTACAAACTCTTTTAGTGTTCGTGAAGTTCTTAAGTCATTATTTAAAGAGTTCCAGATTTTTGGACCAAAGTATCTGAAAGTATTTAGCCCATGCTTAGTAGTGTTGACTCTGGGTTGTACTAGAATCAGTTCGCCACGTAGGTTGTGTGAGTTGTTTCTAAGCGTCAGCAGAGTACGAAGTGGATTTGATGTTGTCCCATGAATAACTTTATAAATAAGAATGCACATGTCCTGGACTCTTCTGTTGTGCAGTGTAGGCATATTTACTGTTTCAAGTAGAGTACTATAGGTACTAGTGCTGTTGTTAAGGACTGATCTTAAAGCACGCTCGTTGAGTTTTTCAAGTTTAGCCGATGTTGTTTTTCCACAGTGCATCCACACTGTGGAACAATAGGTAAAGTGAGGAAGAATGTAAGCCTTATATAGTGTAAGCTTGGTTTGTAAGCTAAGAAGTTTTCTAAACCGGCATATGATTGCAATTTGCTTGCTAATCTTCTTGCATAGTGAAGCTACGTGATTGTTGAAATTCAGCCGGTCATCTATAAGCACGCCCAGGAGTTTGCAGGTGGTAGAGGGTTGTATAGATGTTCCATCAATCATGAAGCTGATTTTGTCTTTCTTTGCTTGGTTACGTTGGAGGTTTGATTTTGTGAAGACCAAGGATTCACATTTCTTAGCATTTAGGAGTAGGCCGTTGTCCTTGATCCAGCTTGAAACCACAGCTAGTTCAGAATTTAGGATCCTCTGTACAATTCTCGCGTTTGCGTTACTACAGTAAAGTTGTTTGTCGTCTGCGTATGCGGATAGTTTGCCTTTTTTAATGTTGTAGAACAAGTCGTTTATAAAAATGTTGAATGGCTGCGGGCCTAATACAGCCCCTTATGGAACACCTAACCTTGTCTTTTCGGTGCGTGAACGAATGACATTTAGCCTAACACATTGTGTTCTGTTTTTCAGATAGTTTGCCAGTAGCTGTAGGCTTTCTAGGCTGACACTGTACGCTGCAAGCTTTTCAAGTAGTAGATTGTGAGGGAGGCGATGAAAGGCTTTGCTGAGGTCAATTAATGTCGCTCCAACAGTGTTGTTTGAATCTAGTTCAGTTTTCCAGTCTTCAGTCAGTCTCAGCGGCAAGGTAGTAGAGCAGCTGTGCTTCTTTCGGTAGGCAGTTAGGGTGGCTGGGAAGATAGTTTCAAAGTAAGAGGTTAACTGAGGACATAAGCTTTTTTCAAACACTTTGCTCATTGCAGGCAGAATAGTAATTGGTCGATAGTTTGTTTTGTCCATTGCATCACCATTTTTGAATGACGGTTAAACCTCCCCGTGTTTCCAGGTGCTGGGTATCTCCTCTCTCATGATCAGTTGGTTGATCAGAGAACAGATCGGGTGGCTGAGACTGGGATAGCCTTCTTTCAAAGCCCTAGGAGGTATTAAATTACACCCGGTAGCTTTTCTGGTGTTAAGTGACTTTAACAAGTCTGTCATCGTGGATTTGGTTACTGAGGTGAAGTTAAAGACAGCAGTAGAAGAAACGTTGTTCACGATGGTGGAAATACTGGGGTGATTTTTCGGATCAGGCGAGGCCAGTGCCAGTTGCTAAATAGAAGAGATGCGGAGAATTTTGCGCATGTAACTTCTGCCGATGAAGCTTACAAAACTTAATACGGAGTTTGAACTATGATCGATGACAAATTTTTCTTCTTAACAAAGGTTTTGGGAAGATTGATACGTATATTCAAGGTTGTTAGGTCGCGCTAACTCAGTTGTACGATTCTCGTCTTACTCTAGCCCGTCTTTCCATAAAATTTGACAACAGACCACTAGAACAGAAGTCACAAAATACTCTGGGAGGATCCACGAGATATTAAAGGTGCAAAAATTCGTTTTACTGGTGTGCCCCTCATAATACTGGAAAGGGAAGTGAATGATTGCTAGCACGGCACAGGAGGCCCAAGCTCTGTCGCAGGCTCCTACACAGTGAATAATTAAAGAGTTTGTATAGTGGTTTAGTTGGACTTGCTTTTGAGCTCCGTAAATGTAAAGTTGTGTGAAATAATCAAAGAAATAAAGTCTCAGCTTCATAGAGAGTATTCAGTGTTGTTTTCCTCGCGATTAGAGGCCGTTTTGATGTGTTTTAGCTTGACGCCCTAAATCACCCGTGCACAAATTACGGGAAGGTCGGAAACTTCTGTTGACACATGCTCGCCAAAATCGATCGAAAACAACACTTAAATACTTTCTCTCGAGTCAAAACTTAGCAGCACGAAAGTCAAATAGTTTCCCTTTAAGTTCACCGAAAAAATTCCCACAAAAGATGGTTTGTCGAGCAACCAATCCAGCGAGAATTTCAAATTAACGGCGGTTCTGAATTCTTCTAATGCGTGGAAGGAACTACTAGTGCAGTTGAGAGACCGTTAATGCGCGGTCAACCTGGACCCTAGTCAAATCTCTCTCAACTGGTCCTCCCCATTCCTCCCTATAGTCTTCTAATGTACCGTTGCACTTATGTCCTCTTGTTGTAGATATGTCCTCTGACGTAATGTGATACAATGGCCAATCACATCTGTGATCTATGGAGCGACACGCGGCTTGGGACTGGTTAAGAGGCTCCGTTGCAGTTATGTCCTCAAGCAAAGTGCTCATTCAAGGGGGTCGGGATAAGTAGAAAGTTTGACACGTATGAGCAACTTCCAACTGATCTCAGGAAAACATGCTGTTCGCAATCTCTTACATTACTTTCCTTGAAGTTCTATCGCTCCTTCGTTAACGCCGTGTGATCGTATCGTTCTTCTAATCTAAACGTCCTAAACGTAGAAGAGCAACTTGCTACGTAAATAACAAAGCGACTTTTGACCAAAGGATGCGTTATTGTTCACGCTTGATTTGCAGTCTTGCTTTATTTACAGACGTCATTGTTCGACTTGCGACTTTAGTGACAACATTTTACCCATATCACAATTGTTTTATTTTCTTTAACTAGCATGAAGTGCAACCGAAACCTTACCGTACTAGTCCCGATAGAAAAGCACAACTTCGATCACCAACGCACTCCAAACTAATCAGGGAATCGAAGCCACGAGGCAATGTCAAATTCTCGTCTTCCTAAGCTTTCCAACGTATCGAAGAAAATTTCGCCAATAATTCGCACTTAAAAACACAACCAGAATCTTAATCTTTCATCAATCCGAAGTGTCCCAAACGAAACCAAGGATAGCTCATGAAACAAGCATATCCCGTGAAATTCTTAATCTTTGAGCGCGGAAATCTTAACGATCTTCTTACAATTCATATTTTTGCATTGCATCCCTCCCCTAGTTGGGAAGTGACAAACAAGAGACACGTTCACAACGCCTTTTGATTGGAAGAAATAAAACCACATTCTATTGGTTATTAGTTGTGAGGACATAACTGCAACGGAGGACACAACTGCAACGCTACATTCTAAAACCAACTCTTCGCACATACTAAGGTACCCCGGGTACACTCATCGACTTGACCAGATCGTCGATACTGTCCATCTTCACCGTTTTCAATGGATTTTTACAAATATCCTCTTACCCGGGGTAAGACTATGGGGAGGTCCCGTTGAGAGAGATTTGACTAGGGTCCAGGTTGACCGCGCATTAACGGTCTCTCAGCTGCATAAGAAGTTCCTTACCCTGGTCCCAGAGGCTTCGCTTACTCTTTTCTTTTCTGTGTTTTTACGAGCCGCGAAGCGGTGAGAAGTTATTACGAGCCGCGAAGCGGTGAGAAGTTATTACCAGCCGCGAAGCGGTGAGAAGTAAGCGAAAGCCTCTGGTCGGAGACAGTTAAAAACTCACTTCCATGCAAAATAACATGTTGGTCAAACAGAATTAATCCCGTTAGCAAATAGCCAATCAAAACAGAGTTTACGTATGATGCACGAACCTTCGCAGTAGATAGCGCTATTTATGCAATACCGAAAATCAGACCTGAAAAAAATCAGGCCAGATTCGAACCACTGACCTCTGCGATATTAGTGCAGCGCTCTACCAATTGAGCTAACAAGCCAACTGGGAGCAGGCCGTTAAGTTGATTCGTAATAAGCCTGTGATGATAAATCAGATACAATGAATATATGAAGTTCATATATTTTGAACTGCGGTATTAAATACGTATGATGCACGATCCTTCGCAGTAGATAGCGCTGTTTATGCAATACCGAAAATCGGACCTGAAAAAAATCAGGCCTGTACGGGACTCGAACCACTGATAGAACTTTATCCAAAAGTCTAATGGTCAGTATATCATGTGTTTTAAACATGGCTTAAAATAAAACACAACTTCCCACTATTTGTTGTTGTTTTTTTTGTTCTTTTTTAATTTAATTGCTATTTGGTTGGAATCTTTTTGTCCTCATGAGACAAGACCATATCGCCAACAATTTTGAATCACATCAACAATAATTGTTTTGCATCATACTGTTCTCTCTATACAGTTAAATTCCGTATGAACAATATATTCTACCATGTGGAAAGCAGATATATGGTAAATACTTGTAGTTATGTCATGTCTGTGAAAAACAGATATAGAGTGGTAAAGTGTGAAGTCACAAAAAGATTTTTGTCCGAAATTCTTGAATTTTTTTCAGATTCCGAAAGAGCATGAGAAAAAGTGGGTGCTGACCAAATTTCAGAGTTCTATTGGTACTTTTAGTTGAGATACAAACCCTTGCAAATTTGACTCAGTTCATTACGTGAATTGGGCGGTTTTTAAGGGTTTGTATGTTGAACCATAACTGCACTGATATCTTGGCTATGAATTGTTTTAGGAAATCGAAATTTTGTGAGAATGTGTCCAACATGGTGCCCTTTTAGAATATGCAAGCAGATTTCGAAAATTCTCAAAGTTTTATTTTATGATGTCATCACTTTACTACTCTATAAAACATGATAAACTGAGTTGAAAGTAGAGCTTTTGTGTAGTTTGGCTAATTATAACATTGTTCATAGTAAATGCAATGTACTATCTTCAATTTGAGTTCTCCTCTCCTGAGGATGTACCTCTAGACTGGGATTCATCAAAGGTTTTTCCTTATGTAAGGTCATACCTCTCCTGAAGCACGTCTGAAAAGGTGGCATATGTCACAGTCAAACAGGACAGTTGCACAACAATACCCTCCTCATTGAACGCACTCTTGTAAACGAACTCTTGGAAGGTTTTGGATGTAATTTGTAATTCAAATATGCACAACTTTGTAAAAGGTCTCTTTTATTTCTTCTTTTCCTGGTCGCGGGAGGCAGCAGCGCACATATCCCCACATTCATACTTTTACATTTTCTCCAACAGGTTTCTGTTCTTTCAACATGACTACAAATACTAAACTGTTACACTACAAAAAGCACGACCAGCGAGAGAGAGAGAGAGATCCACATTCGCCAAATGTACACAGCTTTGTGACAAGGAACACGGTTACTGCTACTTATGCAGCTAAGCTTAGCCCTGAACACCTTTTGTACGTTGAAAAAGTTCAGCTTCAAGTATTGCGGGGTTGAATTCTACAAAGAGCCGCCAAATCGCACGTGATATCGCTTCCATGACATGAAAAAATATTGTTTATACGTTTTAAAAGGCGTCGGGGTAGAATTCAAATCGAACAAAGGGAACGCAATAAATACAAAATATACTTTTTAAACTGTACAAAGTATACATGTATGGTTATCAGCTTAATAGTTAAAATGCTCTACGCACTGTTGCCCTACTTTTTCAACACAAAAGGGTTCAATGCTAAACAAGGATTCACGTTTTTTATAGCTTGGATATTTTTATTTGTTTGTTTTCATCTGACGCGAGACGAGAGAAATTTATATTCAAAAATTTTTTTTGCATATTTTCTCCCATTAAATTGTTCCTCTTCTGTGGAGAGGATTTGTCTATAGTCAACTCTGTCGACGGTTTCTATGGTAAATGATTTCTTTGCTCTTAGACAGTGGTTTCCTGTGGTATCACTACTGTGTTGGATAGCCTGCAGCCTGCTGCATAACGTAAGAAGTTGGATTGGCAGGGGAGGGAGCTCCTTGGTGATGAGGCCCAATCATGCCCATCATCTGCTGATTCTGGTTGGGAGGCTGCTGACCAGCAGAAGACGCTGGGGACATTTGAGCTGAAGAAGAACAAAGGAGTAGAGTGACTAGAGAGAAAACAGTTAGATTTGATCAAAAGACCTTTAATGGTCATGTCAGCGTCTTACGTGAGATGACCTTGAAAATCAAATCTGCTGGCTACGAGCACGATGAATCTTTAGCAAGTATGAATATTAGCCCTGGACTAACATCAGCCACAGACTATAAGTATTTCCTATTTCAATTGTAATCAATCTCGCGAGCTAATAGAAATGGGCGATAATATTCCGGGGCCCTGTGAACTCTGAGAAGACCTTGCGTTTTGCTCCTTAAGGTTCAGGAGGCACCGCAATTGGTGATTTGTTTCGCCGATTTCTAATGACTCGTGCTACAGGGCTACCAACTGCATGACAGAGAAGAACAAAGGAGGGAGAGGAGGGGAGGGCTACTCTTATCTCACCACTGGTAACTACCTGAAAGCCTGAACCATGGTAGCCTACAGCGAGGAATTTCCCTTTTTCACTGCGTAACCACAATTTTTGACGACGATGGGTGACCAAGATAAATTAAAGTCCACACTTGACTGTAAGTTTAAAAAACTTACATCGTGCCCATATTTAAACGTAATTTGGTTATGTCAACTAAGTTGAAATTGTAAATTGGCCACCGTAAAGAGTTTTATTAAAAACTGGATCATTGGATAATGCAATTCAAGACTTTTTATTGGCTCAGCCATTATGGTATATGAGCCATAATCTAATATCTGTACATTGCAAAATCCGGTTTCCCCTTTCAAAATAAAGTAGAGAAGAGTTGTCTAATATCTTAGGGGCGTTTTTTTTTTTTTTAATAAAACAATTATTCCACTGGCGCTTGTTGGATATGAGATGACTATAGCCAACGAGGCGCTACGCACCTCGTTGGCTATCTGTCATCTCATACCCAACGCATGCTCATGGAATAATTGTTGAGAAAAACTGACATTTCGAGCGTTCGCCCTCCGTCAGAGCGAATGACGAAGGGCTGGCGCTTGTTGGATATGAGATGATTATAGCCAACGAGGCGCTACGCACCTCGTTGGCTATCTGTCATCTCATACCCAACGCATGCGCATGGAATAATTGTTGAGAAAAACTGACATTTCGAGCGTTCGCCCTCCGTCAGAGCGAATGACGAAGGGCTAACGCTCGAAACGTCAGCTTTTAAACTCTTTACAGTGACCAATTTATAATTTCAACTTCGTTGATATGACCAAATTACCTTGTTGACCCCACCGACGCAGCACCACAGTTTCTTTAGAAACTTACCCCCTATATTTAAACGAATGCCAACAACCTCTCGAAGCACACCATAAATGAGGTTATAAAGACCTCTGTTTACATCAACCAAATTCTTGGTTGAACACCCCTAAAAACTCCACAGTAGCCGCAGACATGATTTTCGAAAGGCTCATCTTTGCATAAATGACAATATCTCACCAGGATATCCGGGCATTGCTGCTTGAACAACTTGCATTGGTTGAGTTCTGTGAAAAGAGAAACAGAACGTCACCAATTCGTCGCAGTAGTAAATTAAAACCAATGGGGCATGTTCTCCAAATGTGTAGGAATAAAATTGCAAGCCTCCTTAACAGTATTTTGAACATAAGTAACAACTGATCACCAGAGTCACATTACTGTTTCTTTTAAGACAAAACATCAAAAGTGGACTGTAAAGTGCTACCTTCCTGGACTTACCCATAGGTCTGCTGTGGATAATAGACATACTGAGCTGCTGCTGCCGCTGCTGCTGCTGCTGGGTACTGAACATACCCTCCCTGAGCCGGAGACTGCTGCTGCATGGGCTGCTGACTGTAAACTTGCTGGTAATACTGTTGATAATACTGAAACGAAGATAAACATATTGTTAACCCCACCCGACTTATTACGAGGGATTAATTAAGTTATAGAATTTAAACATGCAAATCATATACCAGTATAAAATTTAATAGCAAAGGCTGCTCTGTGCAACAGAGCATCAAAGCATGTAGTTAACCCTTTCACTATCTAGATCTCACTTAGTCCGGGTGAGAGAAGCTATTAAAAAGTATTTAGGGAAGTTAGGGTGAGTGACAGTTGTTGTTGTTGTCAATCGAACGTTTCACGTCCTGTTCCTGAAAACGGATCGGTTAGTATTGATGTTATTGGCTAAAAAAACTCCGGCAGCGTCGATAAGTCTTGATTGGTCATTTTCGATCCGTCTAGCAACATCTGTTCTTGCCATTGTCACCTTTATCAGGATAACCGACTTAACAATTGATTGTTACTCTGAAACCATTTACTGTATCACTGACATAAATTATTTGATTGCCATACGCTTTTTTTACGTCAGTTATAACTTAACATTTATCCTCCTGCATTTCACGAATTACTGAACTGCAGAGATGAAAATCCACCTAAAATCATTCAGGCCTGACATAATAAAGAAAAAATAGGTTTTCACATCTAAGGATGGCTTCCAGGTAAGGGATAAGGGGGAACTGACTTGGTCGAGCGTTTAAATCCCATACTAACTATTGTAAAAACTAGCACAATACCTGCTGCCATTGCTGCATTGCTGATTGAGCGTTGTTTACATCTGTCTGTTCCTTCCCCCAAGAACACTATAATGAAGAATTATGGACACAACTCAACCCCGAATACCAAACTGATACCATCATTTCACTACTCAAATACAGTTAAGTTCTTGTCATTTCGAGAATGACAACAATCAAACAGAATACGTCACAAAAAAACCTTGCCTAGATGTAACATGCAATTATTAGATTCATAGAAATGAAGGTTAATTATACAAGAGAATTAGCTTCCAGGCTGTAATTTACTCCTAAACACGATATGAAGCATTTACTTGAAGAAAAAAATGTTACTATGGACATCATGAGATACGTGCCAAATTTGAGTACATTGTACATAGATTTCCTGTAATCTTAGTGGTAAACTTACTTTCAATAAATTATCTCCTAGTACAGTTCTCTGTGATTTGTAAATGGCATCTAACGCTTGCTCGTGTGTGTAAAATCTGTCGAACGAAGTTGGAAAATAAAGTTAGCCATGTGGAATTAGGTGCATCTTTACACTGAAATCTTCGTCAACAGTCACTCTCTTTGTATCGGTTGACGTAGTCACATCTTCACAAGAGCGACGCCCTCCAAAGTGCGTCCCACCTGCCAAAGTAGCGTCTTAACAATGCCCCCTTAATAACCGGCTGAAGAACGATAATAAACAAGTCTCCATTGCTTTATTTAACAGCAGTTTTTCTTTGACGTACAATTGCCAGAGAAAACTGCACAGCTAGTGTACCAGTTCTACAGTTTTGTGTCTAGTAAGAAGGTTTAGTGCTCAAGTCCAACTCACTTGATAAATCCATAAAATTTCTCTGGAAATATTTTGATGTCATAGATCTGTCCAAAGTGTGAGAAGTTCTGACGAAGTGTGTCATCTGAAAAAAACAAAAGGGTGTAGAGAAGTTGCAGACTACATCATTTTAGTTACAAGTAATTCCGGAATCTTCTAGTCATCTGAATACATTTTACTTTCAATCAAAATGATTTTGTTATTTCGGAATATTTCTTTGACTAACAGTCAGAGCTTGGTTTAACTTTTTCAGAACCGCACCAAAAATTTGGTAAATTTGGTGTGGTTTGATAAATGGTAAGGAAAAACAAACTAAAAAAAGAGTTCAACAAAACAACACAATGTAAGACACAACCAAAAATATGCAAGCAAAATAAATTTGATTTGACTTTTGGAGAGGCACACCTTCCAAAAATTCCCCCTAACTTATACACACACAGGCTTACTCAACAAAATTCTAAATGTGATTTTCCGAGTTAAATTTACATGCAGGGATAACATGCTAGTAAGTTGCTAAGCTGGACAAAACACTTAACAACTTAATTTGATTGCTAGGAAAATCCTCAGAGAAGGCACACTTTCAATTTTAAACCAGAGGGCCAGGTGCAGTTCAAAGTTTATCCTAACCTTGAGTAAAGATGCTGAAAGCTAAATCAGGGAAACGATAGGATGCTGAGAGATGAATATGTCTCAGGTGTACATGACAATGTAGATTCAATTGGTCAACTGGGATATAAGAATACATAACAGGGGAATAAATATAGTTACCAGTGCAGCCCGGTGGAAGATTCCCGACGTACACAGTGGAGTTATACGGAGAGGCTTGGCGTGATATTTCATCCAGTGACAGTTGCTTTGTTACTTTAATGAAACAATATAAGCAAATTAATTTTCAAGCATGCACACCTGAATTTGATCACTGCTGAGAGAATGAATATTGAAAAGAAGCATTACACATCTTAACTCAACACTCCAAAGATTTTTTTCTAATTCTCCCAGGTAGCTGATATAAATTGTGTTATAAATTAGATTGGAGAATTTGGTGTTAATTCAACAACACCTTTTAAATGATAGGTTACAGTTTTGAGTATGTTAACCACCTAACCGTATGTTAACCGTATATATCCGCCTCCCAGTTAGCTCAATGGATAGAGTGCTGGACTGTTGTGCGGGAGGTTGAGGGTTCGAGCCCCGGCCGGACCAACACTCAAGGTCTTGAAATAATTGAGAAGAATATGCTACCTTTCTATAACATAAAGAAATGGTTAGATATTCTAGTCTTCTCAGATAGGGACGAATAAATGGAGGTCCCGTCTCCTGCAGGGTTAGGGGTAGGAGACGTTAATTTCCCACACATGAGATTACTGTGTGATGGATGTCCTCCCCTGGGGTGGGATGGGTGGGTTTGTTGGAGCTTAAACCTCGTAGGGGAGGTCCTTTTGTCTCTGCTCCAGTACTTGGTACAAATCATCAAATAAGTAAATAAATAATAATAATAAATAAATAAATGTTCTCATCACCTTCAGTGTGATGGTAAGACAAAGATAAAGTTAAATGTTTATCAGTGCTGGGCATTAAAACCGCCAGAGAACTTTAGCATCAAGTCTACAATATATAATCAGCTGATTTGTACATGTATTTATTTTGCTTTTTTAATCATAACAAGACGATCTAAGATTGTAAGTCGGGCTACAGGCTTTAAGTGTTAAGTTGGACTGATACCTCAACTCCACAAATATCAAGATGTATAAATCTGCCCTTTTTAGACGCCTGTTGATGCCCATGTTACGATACAATTTATTTCCTTGGTCAGCTATGCAACATAGGGTTCTGGAATTCCAATAACTACAAGACTTTGCTACTGACTAACACATGCATAAAGCCCTACTGCAGAGTATTGTTTACAAGAGCAGTTGTGTTCTTCTCTCAAACTGTTCACTGCAGTTATTTCACATGTACTAATCTGCACTCCTCTGAGTTCATAATTGTCACTGAGGGAGTGTATAGTCTGGAAATACTGTACTAAGCCCTGAATAGATGGTACTTCTAACAGTACACATGTACCCGAGGGATGTCTTCTACCATATTTGTCCCTTGCATGAGAATAAAATATCTTATAACTCCCATTATCCGTATGATAGATACTAACACCAATACATTCTACTGTCAGAGTAAATGAAGAGTAATGTTGTGACAAGAGTGATTCAAAAGCCCTGTCTATAGACATACTGTACTGATATCCCTCAATTATTGATGTAGATTACCACTGTAGTTTTCGCTATAATTAAGCTGATAATTTTTCTCAAACAAAGCAATCATTGATAGTGACTCTGTTTACATTAAATACACCTGCCCTGTACATTGTGACAATGTTGAATACAATTGATTATCCATTCCCAAAATTTGTACCAGGTCATGACACATATGTATTCCTATTATCTTATTATAAATCAAAGCAATCAAACTCATAGCAACACATTGTTTTCCAGCATTTTCACCAAAGCACATGATATCACCTTGACTATATGGTGCCTTGATTGTTAGAGTAGGATCACGATCGAATCGTCTTCGCACATGGTACTCGATCACCATTGTTAATATTACAACGATTAACAAACATCACAATGAGAACTGAATTCTTTTGCATAATTGTTATTTCTTTTGCAACATCATTTTTTTGCATACACAACCCTGATTTGTCACTCTTTTGTTGCATACATGGCGCTACTTTGTCCAGTACATCATCATATCCAACACCACGTTATTTGGTACCAAACAGACATTCCTGCGCAACAATATGTGAATATTATATACACACGAAAGTGACAAAACTAATGAAACAAATAGAAAAATAACAGGTGATGATGTACTCTGTTTGAGCAAAAACAACAATATGTAAGCTTAACAATAACGATAAAGGTCACATAAATATAGCAATTGCGTTTATCCTCACTATGATGAAAGTCCAACATGGCATCATTGTTTTCATTTCCTAGAGTTTGATCATGAGGCACCTTGGTTTTATCAGGAAATGTTCTTCTGTCACTCTGTCCACATCTACATGTAACTAACTTGATTTCTGGTTTGATTCTAGTGAGACCTTCGCTAAATCAACTGATTCTTTTGCTATTTTGAGTTCGTGGAACGACCCGTTTCGAAATATATGCTTGTTACACACAACATCTTTTAGAGTGGGTCTAACTTGAACAGTGTATAGGTCTGTACGTTTGAGCGTAGAAAAGATGACACACATATCCGCCATCTTTGACAAAGTAGAAAGAACATTGTGCCGTTATTACATGTCTGCGGTATTCCCCATTGCATGTGACTGAGCTTTTAGGAGAAATACGGGAGTAAACCTACAGTCGGTCGCCCAACTAAAAAAAAAAAACTTGTCAAAATTTGGTAAGAAAATCAGTGACACGCTACACTGTGCCTTGTAAGCTGCTTTTTTGTCCTTTTGACATCATCTGTGATCTATTACTGAACCGACCCAAAACAACAAGAAAGGCATTTGTTCATCTCACAAGGCACAACTAATCAAAACTATTTGGAAAAATAGCATCTCAGCACTGACCATCACTGAAAAAATGCTTTCCACTCAACATTGTAAAAATTATATTTCTGGCTTACAACCACTGAATTTTCATTTCAAGGTACAGTCACACCTTTATTATACAGAACTCCATTATTTGGATTTTTTGATTATCCATACTTGCTTTATCTGATCCCATTATCTAGGAACATTTATATTTATATTGTCCAGACTCTTGATTATCTGGACTACCAAGCTCACTCCCCAATGACTCCAGATGATGGAGGTTTGACCGTATCATGAGGAGATGTCAATGTTGCAACATAATAAAAGGATAAACAAAACAAGAAGTTGATACCCTTACCTGGTACAGTTGCTTTCCTAGCAGCCCAGTTAGTCCGTATGTTTCTGCCTCTTAACTGCTGACCTAAAATTAAACCACTTATATTAGCAAGGGAATTTTTTACAGAAATAAGAGCTACCAAAATCCACAGATCCCTGATTGTTTATGATATATCATATAATCATTAGTAAATGTATCCTGGACATTAATCAATATTAAATGAGAAGTTTTTATTTCCCTGTTTTGTACACGCCTGTCCCAGAGTAGCAACTACAACAAAATTTAAAATGCAACTCAAGATGGCAAAATTACCTTTCATTTCCCTCATGGCTTTCTCGGCATCCTAAAAACAATCAAACAACAGGGAAAATTAATATCACCTATCATATATCTAAGCATTGCATATTATAAAAACAAAGTTTCTGATGCCTATAAGTTATTCTATATCCTCTCGAGTATAGCAAAATATGTTGAAATGGATCATAAAACTAACTCCTTCACTTTAATAATAATAATAATGTTAATTTCTTATATTGCGCAGTCTAACATGCAATAAAAGATATGATCGAATGCACTCTTTCTGGCCTATGGGTTGACAGCAGGCAACATTTATTTTTCTTTATCAAGAATGTCACCTTTAAATACACCATTTCTGAATTACCTTTGGACCTTTTTTGGAGCAAGGCCTGGTGCTCAACCATTTGCATGTGAATGAAAGCCTACATGTATAGTCATAAGAAATGATGAGCACCAGGGCTTGCTTTGAAAAAAAAATGGGCTATTATCACAAGATTGACAAGTGGTTAACAAGAATTCACAAAAAAAACTTCAAAGAGGAAGACGCTACAAAAAGCATCATCATTCTCAGTACAATAATCCTTGTTGTATTTTTCTATTTACTTTGAAATTCCACTGATATGAAAAAAAAAATGCACTGATTGTTATCAATTTCAGTTATATATTTCAATTTAGTGAAGACCAAAACTAAAAATTAGAAGGACACACATGATCACATATGATGTAAATATATGTTAAGAGTTTAGACCTCCCAAGATCTGATTGTTAATTCTTTACATGTATCTGCTACCCATTTCCTTGTTAATCAGTTATATGAATTTAGTGTTAGATCAATAGAACTTCTACCAGATAAGTTCGATAATTCTCATTAACTGTTTGCTGGATAATGTATGGACATTATAGGGAGAAATAATTTGAATATATCAACAAAGTTGAAATGGTAAACTTGCCACCGTTACAATTATAAAAGCTGACATTTCGAGCGTTAGCCCTTTGTCAGAGCAAATAAGGGAATTGTGGGTTGTGTGAGCTTTTAAAGGCAGAAAAAGGAGCTACATGAGAAGGGAGTAGTTGAGTATTAATCACTTCTGAGAGCAAAAGGTTTCAGTGAGGGGAGAAGTAGGTGACCAAGTTGCAATTCATTCAATTCTGAACAGTACCGTGAGTTTTCTAATCCATAGCAAGCGAGTTACATGTACCCTTGCTGCTGCTAAAAACAAATGGAGTGCATTGCCTTCAACAGTGACTTACATACCTCCTTTTTTACAAATGACACAAAACCATATCCCTTGGACTTTCCCGATGCAGTATCTTTTACAACACGACAATCCCTAAATGAAGAGTAATACAGCAGTTGTTAAACTAACTTAGCATTTCCAAGGACTTTTTTCTTTTGAAACTGGATATTAAAGAAGCAAACGATTCAAGAAACACCGAGACAAAATCAACCTTGAGCCTCTCATCACCATAAATGATTATGATAAGAGGAACTATGGTAACAGCATCACCAAAATTGAGCGAGGATTATCTTAATGCCAAGTGTCAAACTTTCTGTTGCAACAACCTTGGGTATAACCATAAAACAGGCAACCCTTAATTCAAGGCAAATATCAAAATCATGATTGGAAGCTTCACCTTCAAAGCAATTTCCAAAATAGTTCTCTTACAATAGTGTAACTGTAGGTATTGAGAAACTATTCGTTTCCTTAGTTTACTCTGACTACTCTACTAATTTAGAAGATTAAAAGAAGAAAAAACAAGCAAGGAAATGGCATACATCGCCTGGGCGGGATGCAATTAGTGCACATTCATCTGTATTCAAGCAAATAAGGAAGTGTTACAACAAGTACTGTACAAAGCATGGTATAAAATATCACAAATATGAAATTTTCAATGCACCACAAATTGGACTGTTGGTAATGTGAAGGGTACATGCAATATTCAGCTTAAAAGGATCAGCATAGAAATGACAAAAACTTTGCAGTGATCTGCAGTCTATAGACTAGGATTTTCAACATGACGATTTTCCCATCATAGTGAACATTTTCACGCCATCCTGGGAGGATTAAAATGCTAGTGACATCTAACTATGTGCTGAATGTAACACAATCTATGGTTGAGCCTTCAAATAGGTATGTAAACACCAGTTTCCCAAGGGGAATACACAAGGAGTAAATGATGGTGGGCAAATCACACTTAATGAGCCCAAATCCATAGCCTCCATTGAAAGAAAGGAATTTTGTACACACTCAGTTTATATAGTACAGTTGGTAATAAAAAGCAAATGGTAAACAAAAGCAACCCATTAGAAAATACCTCTTACTAACCAAGTCAGCACAAGTTAGAAGTTGTGGACCAATTTTTTTACTAATTGGATTTATGGCCAAAGTATGAAGCACACCCGCCATAAATAGATCAGAAAAAAATGACATTTCATAACATATTGTATGGTGAATGAGATATCTTTAGTATCTCAGGGTTCAAACAAAATTCTTGAATTTAGTGAGCCATACATATATCTTATTAACCAAGCGCGAGGGCCATACTGGGAGAATATTGGCCTGAGGTCTTGACAGTACAGACCAAGCGCAATGAGGTCCGTACAAAAAAGACCGAGGGCCAATATTCTTCCAGTACGGTCCAGAGCAAGCTTGGTTAATAAGAGATTTATTATACGACTGAAGTTCAAAGGGACACAAGTGNGATATAGGCCACTCAAAATAAACTATGGTTCATTCTAGAAGAAAAAGTTCAAGGTCATTTGAAAAGAACTTGATGTTACCGGTTTCATTGCATAACAGTATTAATGGAGCTTGACACTAACAGTACCCAACTAGCCACAGACTAGTAGAAATTCAGTTTTGGCTGGTGGTTTTCGATTTCAAAGGGCCAGTTTGGCTGGTAAACAAACTGAAATTGTTGTGACACCTGAGTTGTCACTAGCCACTTGGCTAGTAAGTTGAAAAGTTAGTGTCGAGCCCTGAAGATGGTAACTTACCACCCCCAATCTTCAGCAACATACTCAACTAAACACATTGCATTTGAATACTTGGAGTGTAAGAGGTGGGTAATATTTCCCTAAGACTTTCAGAGCCAATTTCTTTACCTTCCGCTCTTGTTCTCAGTGGCCATTTTTTTTTGTTCCTGCTTCCTTTTTTCCATTTATTGGACAACATTATTGATTTTGCATACCTTTTTCAGCATCCCCCTTGCCCCACCCCAGAATCATGAGTATTTTCTTGCTTTATCTAATTCAAAGCAGCTATGGTGTTAGTGAACCTAGTTAGCTTTTATTTAACTTGCTCCTTCAAAAATATTCCAAAACATTTCTTTTCAGGAAAGTTTTTTACTTGAAATAAGTAGGAAGCCAAAGCTTATCATAATAATAATAATAATTATAAAAAAATTGAAAAATGAAAAAAGCAACCTAACTTCAACCACTCCCATTCTCAGCGTTGCATTGGTAATCACTGCAAACCAAAGACTTTGTCATTTCTGAGCTTGAAGTCCAAGGTAGTGCATTGTAGAACTCAGTGTAAACTATTGCAGCTACAATGCATGCAAAATACAGAACATGCAAAAGCCAATCAGAGTTTCAGTCCACCAATCCTTTCGATTGATAAATGGTTTGCCACTCAACACATTCTCCCAAGTGAATAAGCCAGTGGTACATTACACTAAACCCAACAATTAACCCTTAACCCCTAGGAGGGACTGGCTTCTTATTTCTTCACACAGCATCACCCTTGAATCAACTACTTAATTCATGAGAATAATGGAAATAATAACCAAGTCACCAAGCTACTGATTGACAAAAGAATTCTCCTTGCCAGTACCAGAGGAAATGCAAGAGACCAGTATGGAGAATATGAATACCAATGTTAGGGGGTAAATGGTTGAATCACACACAATACTCCTAGTTTATTACCTGGTAAAAAGAAAAGTTTAAAAGCCACCCTTTTTAGCAAATAAGGACAACAATGCACCCTGCTACATATACAGTGTATCATATACATGTAAAAAGCTTTTTTACCTGGAATACTTTGGTAAAGCAGAGAAAAAAATCAGGAAGTTAACAAGTTTCCCTAAGTTTCTGGTTTGTTTGTATCCACTTTTTTTTTAAATGAACTATTTGATCTTTGTTCCCACCAAAGATGTTTTCATAATAATCAATGTTACTGAACAGCACTAATCTTCAGCATCCATTATTTTGCTTTTTTGTTTTAAGGGATAGCTATTTCCAACAGAAAAATCAAACACATTTATTAACCACAAGTCAGGTTCAAATGTGGATACAATAGAACATAACTGGACTATTATTCACATTTCAAACTGATGATTACCAAGTGGATCTGTAACTGAGAAAAAAAAGACTAGCTGGGTTATTCTGCTATCAATTTCATTTGGTTCCTCATACTCCACTTGCAATGCAATACATATAAAAATTTTGAAATAGTCAAAATTTAAAAAATTGTGCCTGCTCCAGTAAGATAAAGGATGCTGAAGATTAAAACAGATTTTTCAGCAACTACTAACAGTTTAATAGCAATAATACTGTAATATGTAACAGGTAAAAAACAGATACTTACGATACTACTCCAAAAGCGGAGAAAGCTTTATAAAGACCATCATTCTCAATCTCTGGGTCAAGGTCACCCACAAATATGTGATAATGATCTGAAAAAATTACACAAAATTTGCACAATGATTAACAATAATTATTGTAGCCAAGAGACAACAGATTTAAAGAAAAAAGCCTGTCCATTGGTTTTCTGGTTTTCACTGTCTTGGTGGACCTAGTTGCAGTAAATGAGCTAATTTGCAAGAGTTGAAGGAAACAAAAGGCTAAGGCAAACGTTGTTTCATGTTTGTAAGGGTATATGAACTTTAATTTGTTAACAGCAATCTTTGTCAGTACAGAAAGCTTCAATCTTCAATCTAGAAATAAAATGCCTGGGTGCCCAAAATGCCCAAAATGCATAATAAAAAAAATAAAAAAAAACCTACAAAAAAATGATTTCCACAAGCTTACATATACAAGTAAATAATGTTATTCAGAAAACTGAAGTGGAAATGTTGCATGTAATTTTGGTCACACCATTCCCTTAACCTTGAAATTGCAATTCAATAACTCAAGAAAGCTTGGAGAGGCCTATCACAGTCTAGCATAGTTCACATTTCATTTTCTTCCCTAGGAGAACTGAGAAGAAAGGTTTATCATATTCTAATCATGTACGACAAGCTTAAGAATCGTGACCATATCCTGTAAATAGAATTTACCAGAATGCAAATAAAGTCCTTTCACTTTCAATAACAATTGGAACTTTCTTTTAGACTATAAATGTACATCAAAATTCTGAATACAAAGCAATCTATGAATTCTGAGGTTTGCAAAAAATTTCCTGCTCAAACAAAGGCTTAGTTAAAGTACAATGGAAGCTACTGACTAACAGGAGAAAAAAGATGAAAACTTTTTGTTTTCTTTTCTAGAAAGGTAAGAGAGATAATTTTAGTTTCTTTAATCACTGAGCTGACATACTATTGACACCCTTCCCCTCTTGTCAAACTTGACTGGTTTTGAAAGGAAAAAATTGCTCATTCAAGTGGAGATTGAATTCATATTGTTGTCAGAATAAATCTGTCAAACATACTGATAATTTGACAAAGATTGCTTGAGGATTAGTGGGAAAATGAATTAACACCATGCTAATTGCATTAATAAAAATACCATGGGCTAACACACTAGGAACAAGAACTGGCTCTCAACAAATATCTGCAAAATCTAGGCAATTTTGTAGGAGAAAATGTCCATGAAAACTTCAAGTGGAAATGATGAATATTAATGAAGTCACCAATAAATTACTTCAAACCAATGATTCTGGAAGTCCTCAAATCAACCATGAATTCAAGCCTCTTAATATTACAGTTATTATAAACATGAGCAGTTCCGATAAGAAATCTGCCAAATTGCATTTAGGCATATCAGAGCTTGACCTTTATAGTACTTGAATACCTTGCTACTGATCCACAGCCGAACATTTCAAAACACTGATGAGAGTGTGAGTGTATATGAGATAAAAATAGCACAGGAAGGGTTTGATTTCGTTGTAGTAAATCAATGAAAAAAGCTATAAAGATCTCCCAAAAAAATAATAGCAGATGAATCTGCAAATCAAGAGTTCAGTCGAGAAGAAATGTATGTACTCACTACTTGTGTCTTTCCTCATGCTTCCAGTGTTATTAGTCGCCCAGTTCACCTTAATATTCTGGGCAGGACATGCAAGAGAAGAAGAAAGAAACAATGAACATCATCCATAATTAATTACTAATTGATCTTCTTATTATAGCACTCCTCTGGCTACTGGTGTTCACTCCATTATGCAGGTGGCCAACAGTGAAGTTAGCACAAGAATTCTAAAAGAACCTCTGACCACAAAGTAGTTACAATTCAATCATGCCAGTGTACTTGACTTCAAGCAAATTAGTGGTGTATATAATTTTAGTTTGTGATCAGGTTAAATACCAATTCTATAGGCATAAAAACCAACATCTAGTTTTCAAAAGACAGGTGATGTCTCTGCTTAATCTGCAGATGTTTTCCATTGCAGGGAATACAGTATTTATTAATTCTACTCCTTAGACATGACAGATCTGCCATTTGGAGGAAACCCATTGGTCCAAAGAGAAAATAATTATATTCAAACCTGTCAAGCTTTAAACCACTGGATTAGAAATAAGTTTCCAAAATTATAACCCCAAGGGTCTTTTCTGTTACATCCCTTTAAGTCCACAAACAACTCCCATTATTTCACATTCACCTGTCCTCTTTACACAAACAATAGACCTATATACTAGGCTCACTAAATCTTTTAGACAAGAAAAGGGAATGAGAAAAAAGGTATATTGCTTCTACACAACTCTTTATGTGTTTTGAGTTAAACCAAACTAATTTTTAAACACACCTGGCTGTAAACATGCCCATTATACTAAAAATACTTTCACATCTTGGGAAAAAACATCTTCAGCTAAAGATCAAAATTTGGGTTTATGTTCTTTAAATTAACCCAAGTGTTTATGTTAGGTTCACTCCTAACATAAACACATTCAGCTTCCTTTTGCAAATACAAAACTGAATCAATCTGGTTAATATATTTTGCTTGAAATTTTTTTATTTAAATAATCCATTCATGGCTTGGCCCTTCGTTAACAAAGCTTGTTTAAGCCAGCAGGTGAATTGAAACCCCTCTGAGCATAAAAATTCAAAAAGGTGGGAAATTTTAAATAAATTCTAGGCATTTCAAGCCAGAATGACTACAATAGATTATTTGGTGGTCAAGTAAGGATCAAAATTATGAAAAGAATACATGATCTGATAATGAACAGAGAGAAAAAACTGTTTTAGAAGCAAACATCAATACCTGGTAACCCCCTAAGTTAAAACTCTAGGTGGTAACTTGCATGTGGCTACTTTTCTTTGTATATGTCACCAATAAAACCCTTACAGAATAACCTGGTGTTGCATAAAAATCCAAATTTCTGAAATGGATTTTAAAAAATCAATTTGTTCCCCGAGACTGTCTCGACTGTGAACTGAAAATCATGTTTCAATAGTTCACCACTTTTCCAGAATAAAACTATCAAAGTGAAAACACTGAGCTTAAATTTAAAGGTCACTGAGGAACTCAGATCAGCAAAGGAGTAAAGAACAAAGTACCATTGGATGAGATAGCTGGTGGAATAAGTTTCTTGGACAATTTTACTTTCCTAAAAATTCCCTGAGAAATAACCCTCTCTCCTACTTGAAGGTGAAAATGATAATGTGTAAAGAAAAAGGCTTTGAAAATTGGCATCAGAGTAATTTCACTTTGCCTCACTACACCAAAAAAATAATTCAGCCAGTACACAAGTTAGTTTTCTCAGTCAATGAACCAACAGTAGTTCATTGATTGGACCTTAAAAAAATGAATCAGCTTATCACACTCCAATGGCATTAAACTGAACATAAGCCTAAAATAAAGGTTAAAATTGCTAAATATTAAGTGTATGTATATTAATGGAAACCTTATCCGGGGAGCTAGACTCCCTTTCTAGAAAATAACTGTACTTATCACCTAGAAAATAATTTTGCAACCGTGAAATAAAATTAATCAACTTGAACACCAAACGTGAACTTCTATTAAGTAGATCATTATATCATTAACACGAGTCCTTTGCAGAAAACTAGTTGTCACATGCAAAAGAATTAATAAGAGTGAAAATTCCCAATTTTACATGATAAACTTCACCTATAATGCAATGCAGACAAACTACTTTGTTTTGACTAGAAGGAAACTTAAGTTACAAAAGATTATTGATATAGGCCACTCAAAATAAACTATGGTTCATTCTAGAAGAAAAAGTTCAAGGTCATTTGAAAAGAACTTGATGTTACCGGTTTCATTGCATAACAGTATTAATGGAGCTTGACACTAACAGTACCCAACTAGCCACAGACTAGTAGAAATTCAGTTTTGGCAGGTGGTTTTCGATTTCAATGGGCCAGTTAGGCTGGTAAACAAACTGAAATTGTTGTGACACCTGAGTTGTCACTAGCCACTTGGCCAGTAAGTTGAAAAGTTAGTATTGAGCCCTGATTAAGATTCTATTCTAGAATGACTTAATTGCAGGAATGCAAAGAATAGCATTGACAACCATTTCCATATAACCTCTTTGGGCAAAAAAGGTTCTCAGTTAATCATTAACAAATTAAGCCTGTCTGTGTTTCTACAAGTAATGGAAGCTTTAAAAAATATTGATCAAATCATAAGGCTTACTTAATTAACTTGACAACCACTGATTTGTCAAAAACAAAACAAATGCTTCAACCCAATAAAGCTGTGTAAGCTGCTGCATGTCATTTGTATGGATCAAAATGAAAGATTGCTAGTATTTCATTATATTCAGAATACCTGCCAGCCAAGTAGTTGGTGCACTGATCTCTGGATATAGAGGTCCCTATTTAAATCCCAGCCCTGTTACTGTATTATGTTTTGTTCTTTGACAGAACACCTCAAACTTATGGTGCCCTCTCCATAGTGGGCTCAACACTAGCGGTAGCCCACTAGCCACAGACTAGTACAAATTCGGTTTTGGCTAGTGGTTTTCAATTTCCCCAAGCCAGTCTGGCTAGTAAACAAACTGAAATTGTTGTAACATCTAAGAAGTACCTAGCCACTTGGCCAGTAAGTTGAAAAGTTAGTGTTGAGCCCTGCCACCCAAAAGCATAAGAAGGTATCAAAAACATTCTCAAGGTCCCTGGGTAAATACTGGCAGGTTTCCTGCAGTGGACTGTCATATCAAACAAAGGTAGAAGCAAAACTTGGTGTCATTTCACAAGAATGAACTCAGGATAAGCATTGGCAGTATGGGGTCACCCAGTGGATGATATCTAAGCAAACCAGTACTTCATTGTTTCAGAGTACAGTTCAAAAAGTACAAGTTTCTAGACATTTGAGAGAGACACAATCTCTGTAGGTTTTGCTGATGTAGAATTGAGGAAGTATTCAGAACATATATGTGGGCTGAAATGCTTATCACATGATTTTTTAAATCTGTGTTAGACCTTTGTGTTAGGTTAATTTTAAGAGCTGGTAGGTGAAGTCAGATCACAAGCCATAAGGTTTGTCCAGCCTTACTTCATCCCTGTCTCCGTCACATGGAGCAACTTGTACCACCACTCCCACTCTCCCTTCCCACCGGCTTAAGTAGTTAAGATTTCAGTTGGTCACAGGGTTGCCTCAACATATCTCCTAGATTCTCTGACAGTTTTCTGCTACCAATTTATACTCCTGAGAGGAGACAGGCACTGTGACAGGAGAATGATTTGCTTAAGAACACTACACAATGACCCAACCAGAGCTGATACCAGGATCTCTTAATGCAGAGCCAGTTGCACTGACTAAGGCAAGAAGAATACTTAAAACTTTGTCTGCACTTATGTTTACCATTTGGATGGCGTGTCACTTACCTTGTCATAAACAGTCCTACTGTTCATAGCGAAAAGGGCTTTCTCTGCATCTGTCCTTGTTTCAAATTCCACAAAACAGTATGGGTCTGTTTGTGAACTCTAAATTGTGATAAAGTTAAGACTGGTTAGATTCTCGTTTTAGATTTCTCTCTGAGATGTAAAACAAAAGAGCTACTAAGATAAGTCACAACTGATTATTTACTAGCCAGAAGAAAGAAAAAAGAATGCTGTCATTAGGCCAAGATTGCAAGGTTGGATCATGCCATTAAGTAACTTACTTGGAGTGAAAAACACAAAGTTGATCAAGCAAAGAAGCTAAAATGCAAATATTTCTCACCTAAATCTTCTATCAAGAACATCGAGATATCAATTTAACTGCAGTTTTTATCTCTGTTTGACAAAAAACCTTAGAGTAGATGAATACTTTTTAAGAGCAACCAACTGGCTTAGTAAAGAACTACTCTATAATAACAATAAAAGCCAGGGGAGGTAATCAACAATAGAGAAGCAGAGAAATTCAAGATTGTATTAACAAAATGCAACACCTGCACACAGCAAATAAAGTGCTGCATTTTCTTTACATTAATTTTCTTAGCATGTTGGCTTGTTTGTAATACTGATTCTTGTGAAATAGCTGGCACTTTTAATTGCTCTCCTCCCCAAGCCCTTGAACCTTTAGGATAAAGGGCAGGGGACAGAGAGAAATTTGAAAGCTCTGTATGCCAGAATCTAGTGGAAGCCATTCATGTGTTTGGTGTGATACCTGGTCAAAATTCAATGGAGTGGAATCTAAAATTGGGAAATTATCTTTAAATATACAAATACTCTCTTATCCATTGACTCCTAAGAGTGACTCAAATCTAACTTTTTTGTATGATATCGCCCCAGAATTACACATTAAGGTCACAAGGATCTCAGAAAAGATAACCAACTAATGAAGCTCTTGACTGTTAAACAAATTCTTCTTGTCAGCACTTTGGGAAAGTATAGAGAACTGTATGGGAAGAAGTATACTGGTGATGGAGTGTAAAAGGTAAAAATATATAAATTTTAGCTATAAAATTATGGTATGCTTAATCAATGCAATCTGTTATGGAAGTACTTGACACTTGTATAAAGTTTCTTACTTCTTTTCATATTCTTATCAACAGGAACACATATTAGTAACAACCAGCCATTATGTTAGAGTAAAAGTGATCATCATCTTTAAGCTGTGACTGGTTTTTATATCAGGCAGTGACTCTTTACATTTTGCAATGCTTTGTGCCCCAAATTTAGAGGTAGTCCTATCAACTTGAATCTTTTAGTTAAACAGTATAGATACTCTTTTAAGTCAAGACAGATTTTATGATGTTCCAGGTGCTGTACAAATGGTAGTGATATACAGAACAACACAAAGTTTCGAGTCAAAATTCTCTTGTTGAACTCGTGCTAGAAACGAGACTAGAACTTTTCCTGATAGAACACTTTAAGCTAATCAGTATTCTTAATCATAAAATTTAGAAAACAAAGGGTGGAAAAGAGAAAGGCAAATTAAACAAATCTCATGAGAAATGGTCAAAGACTTAGATTCAATTATGGAATGAAAAATAGAGATCAGACTCCAAGGCACAGACTTCATCCTCATGTTTCAGAATAACCCAATAAATCTCAGTTTTCCAAGAAAGGATACTCAGATGTCTGCAATGCCCTTAAAAATAGAACCCATCAAATCCTCTAGGTCTAGAAAAAGAAAACCTAAATCTATTTCACATACAGCATGGGAAAAGCTATACAGCATGCCTTTTAGCAAAGGATTAAAAGGTGGTGGATCTGGTATTCTGACCACTGGACAAACGAGTGATAAACTTTGCCTGCTCAGCATGGAAATCGCTTTGCCCCAGACCAAACAGTGATTTTGTTATAGCACTGTAGTTTTTATAATTTAGTTAACCTGTAAGACCTTACAGAATGTCCAAATTCAGAAATTTTGTAAACTAGAAAATCAGTACAATTTTTAAAATCATTTGACACATCCAAACATGACACTTAATCAATTTACAGTCATGCTTAAGTGCCAGGTATTTAGCAGAAGAGAAAAAATAAAGTGAATTCCAATTAACTTGAATCCTAGAGAATGACCTTTCCATTAACTGGTAATCATTCCATGTTCTAAAGAAGCCAACAAGAGTTGTTTTCTCATCAGTTCTATAGTGATTTATCATTATTACATGTATAAAACTGGGCTCAAAAGTAAAATGAAACCTTCCATAGTATATGATCCCTTTGTACTGTAGTCAATCTTTCTAGCAAAGCTGTACTTGGAGCAAGTTCTAAAGTTCTCCTCTTAGTTCAGTTCTGGGTGTAAAGTCCTAGTGTAAAGGTTTTGTTGTCACAAGACCACAGTATATCTTTGTTATTCTACATTTTTGCTTTTGTAGTTTCCTTTGGAGCAAATATTTTCATCTTTAAAATAGGATTATTTTTTCAAATTGGTACGAAAATACAGTAAATTTGTGAGTAGTTTTTTTCTATACAAGAAATCTTCCCGCTGACAGAAAAATTTAACACCGGAAGTATGGAGGAAGAGATCTACAGGCATTTCGATGTAACGAAGAAACTCGTCGAATAAAAGGAGAATGAATTCGTTTCTGTCTTAGAAAATGGTCATCAATTCAAATTACAAAGCTCTAATCATCTAATTTTGTCAAAAGGCAATCCATCACGGTTTCTATTACAGTAATTAAGACATCTACTCGGTAAAGAAAATTAACATTTTCGGAAACTAGCGTGTAAGTGTGCTTGCAATTTCAACAACTACTGACAACGTCACGAAATGATTCAAAGTGAAAACAAACGGAGAAACATCCGCAGACTAGTTGAACACGTCTTACGATGATGTAGAGAAGTAAAGGCCCTCTTCTACAAACAAACAAGTGGTAAATTTGCAAATAAAATAAGCTTTCATCGTGTACGATCGACAAAATTATGCCGGCCGGCACTTCTTACAAGTAAAACATAATTGAAAGCACATAAAACAAATAATACCCACCGCGTTAATCATCTTGCATCTAACGACCTTTCCACATTTAGAGAAAATGTCTTTAACAAACTGTTCGGTGCAGCGACGATCTAAGTTTCCCACGTAGCTAAAATGATTAACGAAAAAAATGTTAGCGTACAACAAGGTGCAACTTCCTGAATAAGGAAACCAAAGATCTACCATACTATAGCAGTTTTTTCACTTACAGGCTGGTTTTCTTCTCGTCGATGTCGTCCTTGAAACAGAAAATTCATTCATTAGTTAGAAGAATAGAGAAAAATCGCGTGAACTTTCTTTTTTTACTCACCATTGTAGCTATATCAAAAGATGGAGTGTTAGGGAGAAGGTTCAAGAGAAGCCACTAATGCGCGCGCACTAATTTATGTGACGTCACAAATGTCGCACGGAGTTCTGGGAAATTCGAGGCAGACAGTGCGAAAGGCATGGGGAGAGATTCCAAACAGTTTTACTAAAGAGAAGCTCACGAGATACACTGCACGAATTGAACTTTTTTCCTTGCCTTTTCGTTGTTTGAGCGGAAAGATGAAAATGTTTACATTTGTTGCGGATAAGAGATGTTGATGTTTTAGATGTACTCAATATTGCGTCTGCAGAGCCTTCCCTTTCAGGGACCGCGGAGGGGGAGGGGCCAGTAGGGCTGCGGCCTCACCACTTTTTTCCGCCCCCGCCCCCGCCCCCACTTTTTGCGCTAAAAAGAAAAATAATTAATGATTTCATTCCTTTTTTCGATTTTCAAGATGAAAAAAAATATTTTCAATTTTCAGCCCTCCCACTTTACACCTCGCTCCGCCGTCCCTGCCCTTGCACCCTGGAAATGGTGTGCATATTCTCCATTCTGTTTTCTCCGACGTCATTTCTTAAGGTGCTGACCAGGGGAATTTGTTTAACAATCAAGGGCTTTTTCAGTTGGTGATCATTTCCTTTATTCTCGTGACCTTAATGGGTGATTTAGGGGCTGTAATGTAAGGAGAAACTAGATGCTAGTCACTCGTGGGGTCAAAGGATTAAGTAATAGAGAGATAAAGCTCTGCGTTCAGGTGAAACGTGAACGGCAAGAGTGACCACGTGACCTTGTTTTCCCGTCATTTTTTCACGCTTGCCGGTTGCGCTTTGCCGTTTCCACGTGAAAGTAGCCTGCTTCACGTTTGCCGTGTACGTATGATTTTCTTCTCTTTTTCTCTAACGGAGTAGAAGTTAATTGCCGGAAAAGGTTCACCAAAAGTATTCCTTGTAAGTCTTACAAGGGCGCCTTGAAATCCACCCTGTGAGCTCACGCGAAGCTAAAGCAGCAAGGTTCACGCTATTTAACGCGAAACGCAAAAGGACAAGCTGACATTTTCCGTTTCGGGTAAACGCGGTGCTAAATCTTTCTAATATTATGTGCGTATTTACTGAGCGGGAGCCAGGGCCGGACGGGAAAATAGTTGGCTCGGGGTCATGACGCACGGACCGAGCGCAGTCCGTACGTTCGGACCTTAAGCAAAATATTTTTCCCGTCAAGCCCGACCATGCCAAACTCAGTCAATAAGGTTATTATCATATGACCTCTGACTCAGTTTTGGAAAATTCCAAGGAGTTTGTTTTAACATAAATAGGACGCGATAGACCGCCGCGCGCGGGAAAACCCTAAAAAAAGATTGCTTTCCTTTATTTTTTCGATTCATAACGAAAAACTCACAATTCATCGAGAAACATGACTTATTATCCCTTTTTGTTCACTGCTATCACTCGTTTTATGCAACAACAGCAAACAATGTCGCCGTACAAGGGCGCCAGGACCGGACGGCTTTTTTCGAACCGGCTCACGTCAACCCGTTCAACCCTGCTCACGTTGCTCACGTTAGCTTTCAGTATGATGTTTTTATGGGATTGCACGGGGCTGGGTGGGTCATACGATAGGACGAGCTGAACATCGTTTCTTTGCCATATTTTCGTTTTCAAGGAAATTTAAATATTTTTCCGAACAAGAACTGCATGTAAGATCTCCTACTAAACTTCTGCATTAAAAGAGGATCACTCGAATACATTTCCCCACCATGCACAAATTAGGAGGCTATACGACGAATAAATGCTATCCCCGGTATCAAAATCCTCAAATCGTATATAACAAACATTGCATTTGCTTCAGAAATGGAGCTTATTTGTGTATATTTCACTTAGAGTGATTACCAGTTAGCTTCAGCCGTTGTTCCGCGCGAGGGAATAACAAATGCGTTTTATTATTTTTAGCTGGCGTATTTGGCTCTAAAGTCAACATTGATCTTCAGGTTTCACGTTTACCTTAACCACGCACCAACCTATTTCTGATTAGCGAAGAAAGGGGGTCAGTTTCTAAAGAAGCTGTGGTGCTGAATGAATGAATCGTTGAATGAAAACGGTTCATCCAAGAAGAAAATGGATACAATTTCATTACGTCTATTCTATACGACTCCATCAAACTCCTGACGTATTTCCAGTTGTCGTCTTCTTAAGTCAGACAGCTAACAATGACGTTCTGGGAGGGCCATGTTTGATTCCTTCTAACCTTATCCCCCCTGCCTTCGCTTACATGCCCAGCAAGCCTCATTATTGTTTTCATATCTTTTACTTGCTGGGTTTTCTTTAGTTGATGTTTTCTGGATTAACGCAGAAACGTGGATAGGTTATGAGATCGAGCCGAATTGTTTAAGTAGATTTTGAGTGCTTTCCCAAAATCCCAACGAAGTCGCAACTGGGTGACTTGAGTCACTCTAACTGGTTTCCAGTTTCTTTGTCTCTAAAGGAGCGAGAGAGACTGTGAATAATCATAATAGGAGGCCAAGAAGTGCATAAGGAAGGAGACCCTTCTTTGGAGAAGACTAGAATCGGTTCAGCGATTTAACGACAACGAATTGGGGGAAGGGAAAATGGTGAAAATTGTGATAAAAAAATTTAGATCAGAAATCCAGTTTACATTTTGAAAGAAAGTAAACCTAGAAAGTTGCGTATTACCCTTTCTGCTTAATCTATTTTATCCTCCAACAAAAATTCTCTCGTAAGGTCTCTCTACATAAATACACACCTTTAACCTTCCAGGAGTACATGAAAAAGAAAGAAGAGAGCCCACATGAAAGCAATGTTCTTTGGTCACCGAAATATGATCCTAATTCATCTTTGTGCCTCATTTGTTCCTTCCCTTGCATAAATTATCTGATACAGTTTTGAACATTTCTCGAACAACCAGATAATAATAATAAAAAAAAAAAGTTCGTGAGTCTATGCGCACATCTACCCCCTCTCTCTCTCCATCCCCTCCCTCTCCCCCTCNACGTATGGAATAAGGTAAGCCATTTTTATTTAATATTTTCACTTTTAACTATCTCTATGGCTATCTTGTAGAAAATTCCATACAAATCCTTATAAATCGATATGCAAATTGTGTTCCTTGTGTGGTTCTCAAAGAGAGCTTGGGCTGCCTGTGCTAAGAACAGCCTAAATCACAAGACTTCGCTGTCTCGTGTTGGGGTAACTACTTGGTGTAAGGAGTCATATAGTGGTCTGGGAATAGTGGTCTGGTACTACTTGTTCCCTTCCTCCGTAGCCGTACTAAATAATCCTTAGCCGAGCCTCCTTAGCCGTACTTTGGCATTCCTTGCCATCCTTAACCGCGCCGTATACTATGTGAGTACCTACACCAAGTAGTTACCCTTGTTGGGTTCCGAGAAAGAGCACACTACTTTACTTGATCGTTTCTCAAATAATACAACATGGATATCAAAACCTTGCTCCACAATCTCCGTGAAGAAGTGTCTTGTTCAGTTTGTTCAAACATATTCACCGATCCAAAACAGCTGCAATGCCTGCACAGTTTCTGCTTGGATTGCTTGAAACAGTGGCACAGAACCAGCCATGGTCGAGACACAATCAGATGCCCAAATTGTCAAGCACTCAGTAGAGTCCCGAAAACTGGTGATCTCAAAGATCTTCCCACCAGTTTCTATCTCAACGGCATGATCGATGTGTTGGCCATCAAGGAATGCAAAACCAACCAAGCGACATGCGGAAACTGTGACAAGAAAAGCTCCAAGACCTCTTATTGTTTTCAGTGTTGCGTGTTTTGGTGCGACGAGTGCATACTTGGACAGAACATCATTCGAGGAAACAGAGATCATCGTGTTCTAGCGCTCAAAGATTTTCAAGACGAGGACTATGAAGGTGTATTGAAGAGACCTCCATATTGCCCTAAACAAGGACATAAGGGAGAGGAACTGAAATACTTTTGCAAAAACTGTGAAGCGGCAGTTTGCCAAGCTTGTGTCATAGTTGACCACGGAGGTCACTCAATGATACTGGTCGAAGAAGAAGCAGAAAAACAGAAGATTCAAATAAAAGCTTTGATTGAAACTCAGACACAAAAGTTGCAAACGAAAATAAACGAAGTTCGACTCCTTGATGAGAAATTCGTCCAACTTAAACAACATAGTGAAAAAGCGAAGAGAGATGTTCAAATGTTTGTGGATATTTTGATTGCTGTCATCGAAGCAAAAAAACGTAAGCTATTTGAAGAGTTGGAAATCCGAACCAAGAAGTCACAAGAAAACCTAGCAAAGCATAAGGCTGTCATCGATAATCAAATATGGGGTATAAACTCATCGCTTGACAACGCTGGTAAACTGTTGACAAGAAGCTCAAACAGCGAAGTCGTTCAACTGAAGAGATCATTAGAAGCGATCTTTGAGGAAATTGATCCAGCCGAGCCAACTGACCGTGACCATGAAAATACACCAATTTATTTAGCATTCGAGAAGAATCAATATATGTTGGACACAATCGACAAGGAAGAAATTGGTTTTGTGGACGGACTGTACCGAACAAATCCAAGTCGATGTGTCGCTGAAGGCAAAGGACTTGAGACTGGGATGGCCATACGCGAGGCTCACTTTGTACTGACCACAAACAACACGAAAGGAGAGCGGTGCTATAATGCATTTGACCATATAACGGCGGAGATTAAGGACGAAAAAGGACGACAATGCGCGACGGAAGTACGAATAAATCCTAATCAAGATGGAACATACAAGATCGGATATTTCCCCCAAGTTCCAGGAAGACATAAATTGGAAGTTAAGGTGAACGGAGAACATATTTGCGGCAGCACTTTTTCTGTGCAGGTACAACCATTTGGGGTTAAGCCTGTTTTATCTTTTGGAAAACAGGGCTCGTCCGCTGGAATGTTTGCACAGCCTTGGGGTGTGGCAGTGAATGCCAAGGACGAGATAGCAGTAACAGATTTTGGAAACAACACAGTCCAAATATTTGACAGTGATGGAAATTATTTGCGATCCTTTGGCCGGTTTGGTACAAACAAGGGAGAATTTAGGAGACCAACGGGCATAGCATACAACAACAATGGAAACATTTTCGTAGTAGACAACGGCAACTGTAGAATCCAAATTTTTAACGAAATAGGCGAGTTCGTGGAAAGCTTTGGTGACATAGGCGGCATGGAAAATCAGCTCTCCGATCCTTGCGGTTTATCTGTGGACAGCGATGGCAACATCGTTGTTGCTAATGCAGGTGACAAACTGATTAAGATCTTTTCTCCTGATGGCACATTTGTGAAAAAAATTGGAGAAGGTTCTTTTTCCTATCCTGTCCACTGCGTTCAGTGCGATAACAATCTCGTAGTGTCAGACATGAGCGATCATAACTTCAAAGTTTTCGACATGAAAGGAAACTTCAAGTACAAGTTTGAACAGCTTAATCACCCTAGATGTTTGGCATTCAGCAAGTCAGGCCACCTAATAGTTTGCAACACAGGTAGTAATAATATACAAGTATTTGAGCCAACAAATGGAACATTTGTTGGGTAGTTTGGTATATTAGGCAAGAATTTAGGAGAGTTTTTTACGCCATGGTCCGCAGCAGTTTTGAAAAATGGCCGAATTGTAGTGTTGGACCGAGGTAACCAAAGAATTCAGATATTTGAGTGACAATAAAAATTTCCAGGTATTTTAATACTTAAAAGTAATGACATTTTCAAGTTGAGAAACCATATTAAGAAAAGTATTTTGTTAAATAGTTATAGAGCTACCACGGGAAAAAGTCTTTTTGTTATCCACAAGGTTTAAAAATGTATGTTTAAAACGACCTAATTGCAATTATAATAATAATAATAATAATAATAATAATAATAATAATAATAATAATAATAATAATAAACTTTATTATACACAGAATTCAATAAGTTGTCACTTATTTACATTGAAGCTGTGTACCCCACCCCAGGGAAGGACATCCATCACACAGTAATCTCGTGCGTGGGAAATTTAAAACGTCTCCTACCCCTAATCCTCCATTAATTCGTCCCTATCCGACAAGACTTGAATATCTAACCATTTCTTGATGTTATAGAAAGGTAGCATATTCTTCTCAATTATTTTAAGACCTTGAGTGTTGGTCCGGCCGGGGCTTGAACCCTCGACCTCCCGCACAACAGTCCAGCGCTCCATCCATTAAACTAACCGGGAGGCAATAACACAGTCATTGAAAAAGCAAAACGAAAAACAAACAAACAAATAAAAAAGGAAAAATAGTCAAACTGTACTGATTAACATGTTAAACTACGTGCTAGCTATAGGCCCGCTGGCCGAACTCTCTTCCTAGAATTTCGATTGCAAAAATTCTCTCAAACTTCTTGAGATGTTGATTCTTGATGTTCTTTAAAAGCTATTCCAAAATTAAAAAAAAAAATTATATATATATCTTTTTAACAAAGTGCGAGGGCCGTACTGGGAGAATATTGGCCTGAGGTCTTGAGTACCTACACCAAGTAGTTACCCTTGTTGGGTTCCGAGAAAGAGCACACTACTTTACTTGATCGTTTCTCAAATAATACAACATGGATATCAAAACCTTGCTCCACAATCTCCGTGAAGAAGTGTCTTGTTCAGTTTGTTCAAACATATTCACCGATCCAAAACAGCTGCAATGCCTGCACAGTTTCTGCTTGGATTGCTTGAAACAGTGGCACAGAACCAGCCATGGTCGAGACACAATCAGATGCCCAAATTGTCAAGCACTCAGTAGAGTCCCGAAAACTGGTGATCTCAAAGATCTTCCCACCAGTTTCTATCTCAACGGCATGATCGATATGTTGGCCATCAAGGAATGCAAAACCAACCAAGCGACATGCGGAAACTGTGACAAGAAAAGCTCCAAGACCTCTTATTGTTTTCAGTGTTGCGTGTTTTGGTGCGACGAGTGCATACTTGGACATAACATCATTCGAGGAAACAGAGATCATCGTGTTCTAGCGCTCAAAGATTTTCAAGACGAGGACTATGAAGGTGTATTGAAGAGACCTCCATATTGCCCTAAACAAGGACATAAGGGAGAGGAACTGAAATACTTTTGCAAAAACTGTGAAGCGGCAGTTTGCCAAGCTTGTGTCATAGTTGACCACGGAGGTCACTCAATGATACTGGTCGAAGAAGAAGCAGAAAAACAGAAGATTCAAATAAAAGCTTTGATTGAAACTCAGNGCCTGGTCCAATACTGAGACAATATTGACCGGCAATAGAGCATTTTGATTGGTTGATTTTAGTTATTGGCCCTCTGACTGCCCGAGTCGTGTAATAAAAAAAAATAAACAGTACGCTTTATGCCAATAAATCCGAAATTGGCTTTTTCCCGTTATTCAGTTTTTTTTCCTTTAACAACTTTTACTTACTACAACTAAGTGTACCTCAAGAAAATCTGGGTTCATCTTTTTTAGAATCATGTGAACTTTTAGATTGACAGAAAATGTTTTCTCAAACTAGTTATCCAAACAAAAGAAACGAGGCCAGTCATTCTTGTAATAATGGTACTTTGCCGTAAATTGGTTTTTGTAGTATTTATTTTGGGAGAAAAAGCTCAATTCCCCTTCAGATAAACAAAAATCTTAATTGACCCAAGAAACTTAAGGCAACATATTGAAGCCACTGATGTGCTCACAAGACTGTTAGTGAAAGTTCATTATTTGTAGGGGACCAAAATTGAACCCAATAACGTTTACCTAGTCACTTCCAATGGTGTACGTATCAATGCTCGGGAAAATACAAAATAATTAATTCATAAACAATGCATTTCATGGACAACTGATAAAGTAATGGAGGGCCAGGAATTTTACTTCAAGTTAAATAATAACAATCAAAAAACTTAACCTTTGAACTCCCATAAGGGACCAAGTCAGAATTTCTCCTTACAATAAACAATACAATATCAAGCAGACAAGTGATGAGGATAGAGAAGAATATGAATTTTGGGATAATTATTTGATCCAATAGTAAATTATATAAACTAAATTCATAAGAATTGTATAGCAGACAGTAGTAACTAATGAGATCACAGGAGTAAAGGGTAAAGAGTTAGTTATGCTTATAACAATTCATTTTACTTGAAATCAATTAAAGGCTCGTTGGCATAAATATCTTCACTTCATCCCACCTAAAAGCTGTTAGAACTGCCCTGTAAATATTTCTAGTGTAATTGCAGCACAATTTGCTGCACCAGTCATCAAGGACAGAACATTGCATGCAAGAAAAATCTAAAGTAAGATTTTTTTAATAGTAAACAATTAATCTTGCTTGTGCTTCTGAGCTCGAGAGTTCAGTCTCGCATTGTATTTGTGCTGTACGTTGGTAGCATATTAAAGTTAGTAGCTTACTAATTATGCATTTGTAACAGGTCCAACTTTTTTAAAATTTGGTCCAGATATTCTTTTCTGCATCATCCACTTGACAAAGCAGAGAAGGCAAACCAGCAGAAAAAAATAATTTAAGTTTTTAACTGTCTACAAAAGTAGGTTACTCCATACAGGGAAAAAATGTGCTCCTAGTCTTGAGTACATCTCTCGGCCCTCGGACCCCCACCCTTACATTTCACCCTTTCCCGATCACTGCCATTAAAAAGGGTACTACTGTCATAGAGAAGTTTTAACCATCTCAAGTTTGCAATCAGTTAAACAAAGGATAAAAGTTGTCGAGAGAATTCAATTATGCTGTGTATAGTATAACCTAGGACCAAGAGAACATCAGTAAATGATGTCTAGTTGGAAGCCAAATTAGGCACACTCACTGGTTCTCTTTGAGTGGAACAGACCTGGACTGGTATGATCATGATACAGGTAAGAAAACTGACAACTTGATTAATGATCTGCACATGTCCTATGGGTTCAAGTTTTTCAGAAACACCACAAATCATACAAAAGTACAAGATTAAGTTTGTCAATGGTGCATTATAAGCTCCAGGCCAAATAAAAAAAAGACTTTCACCTCTCTCCTGTTTAATGTCAAGCCTCCTTTTCCTTAAGCTTTGAATTAAGACATAAACACCACACTAACCTATTTTACAATCCCGGTAGAATTTCTCCACAGGATACTGTTTGGAATAACCCACTCCTCCCATCAGCTCAATACACTTCGAAGTTGTCAAGGTGGCCACCTAATTAGAAACAAATAGTGCATACATTTTGCCTCTTCTATCTTGTTATCTGTACAATCAACCCAAACACAGGAGGGTGCCAGATACAATTTATGCATGAGTTGAGAAACTTTGAATTGTCAATTGTGGGGCACATTGCAGCATGTGAAGAAGAAATGTACACTGACGCAAAGTGTGTCAGGATTTCGAGGGGTAATAGTGAAACATCAGCTTCTAATTGCTGCGTTAGAATGTTTGAATTTCTTTAAACTGCTTATTTGATCACTTTGATGGATCTCGATCAAGCATTTGATGGACCACTAATCTTACAACAACATGGTTCAGAACAAGAATTGAAAATAGTGAATAAAAGCGGTTGTAGAAAGCATTGTGGAAGAGCTCAGGGTTAAGGAGGCTCACTAAGTAAAGAAATTTAAGTATTTCCAAAGTTTGGTTAGAGAATGTTACTTTTCGTCAAATGCCATATTATCATCCTTGTTTTAAGATCATTGTGAAGCTGCAAGACAAAGAGAATAAAACTTTCAGATCAGGCCATACCTCGCCTGCAAAGTACTTGGACATGGCAGCTTCTCGAAGGAAGGGGAGCCCTGCCTCTTTTCTCCGTGCTGCATTGTACACCAACAGCCGTGCAGCCTCAATCTGCGTAAGCATGTGTGCAGCCTGGTGATTGACAGCCTGAAGAAGCAGGAAAAACAACAATCATGTTTGTTTAGGTTAAGGCTAACCATAAGACCAACATACTACTAATAACACTAACAACATTATACTGAACAGGGGTGGAAATTAAAATGAATGCCAGGTAGTAAAAATTGAAACAGCCCTTCTTTCCAAATGCACAAATTAAAGAAAATATTTTCTGACAACATCTTACCAAAATATCCCAATGCAGTTATCTGAAGGTCATACATTCAACTCCTATTGCAGCAATCCAGAATTTCTGTTTTCTGAGTATGTCTGTCATTGACTAACAAGCATTACTGCCCTTAATAATCTCTGTAGTTGATAGTAGCAGTTGAATATTAATAATCTCTGTAGTTGATAGGTGCAGTTGAATATTTTTATAGAAACTGAGCGGTATAAATTTAAATTTAATAATAATTTAATAATAGTGGCATCATTGAGAGCAGGATTATAGGCTTGAGTAACAGAAATATTTGCTTCTGAAAACAACTGCACATTCCCAAAATTAATTGGCATCCCTAAAGGAGTTTGAACAAAACTTTTCAATTGACATTTCTGTCTTTACACAAATGAGTTACTCTTATAGTAGTGTTCTCATTGCATGGCAGAGAGCTTATGATTACCTGAAAGTCCCAGATCTTTTGGCCAAATTGTTTTCTTTCATGTAAGTAAGGAACTGTACAATTTAGACAGCCCTGAGCAAGTCCAACCATCTGAGAATACAAGGGTGCTATAAAATTGAATATAATCTTATCTGTTCCTTAGGCTAATTCTTTCTAATGCTACATGTACAAGATGATGAATTGGGTTGTAGTGGTTTATAGAGGATGAAAAGAGCATTTGATTTGAAAGTACACCTTTTGTATCTTGCATATTATTCAAGTGAACAATTTTTATAATTTGTGAAGGGTAGTGACTAAAACGAAGACCCCAAAATGAAGACCCCCAACCAAAAAGAAGATTCGCCGCTTTTTCTAATAAATGCTCTGATTATTCAACCCTTCAACGAGTGTTCAACTGCTCAAGCTCCTGGGGTTAAATTCTCATCACAGTCTACACGTGACTTTGCCCTGAAAGGTTACATACACAAATGGTTTCACAACATGTGGTGTAATCAAGCTGTCAAGGAAACTCTCCTGACAAGTCCAAGCTCCAGACAATAAAATTTCTCGGGCAGAATCGGTCACATTTACTGACTTCTACATTTTGCCGACGGATAATAGAAGATAAGACTCCAATTTTACCAGCAGCAAAACCATAGGCAAAATACACAGGACAAAGCTTGCAATAATGCACTTTGTATTTAATGTTTCTGGAAACTCATTTGAGTGACATTTCATGAACGATCTGTTGATAACTTTAATTCTTAAAAAAAGCGGCGAATCAAAACAGTGTAGCGAACAGATGACAAAATTGAAGTTGTAGAGGTGAGTGTGGTTCAAACTAAAGTCAAACAATAGAAAAGAAAAAAGGGAAAGGAACACAATGTTATAAATAAGACAAAACAATTGCAACTGGAGACATTTGATTCGCTTAATATATTTGTTTTACATGAAGAGCTAGGGAAACTTAATTAAATTCAAATCAATACAGCTATCCTATTTTAGTTGATGGAATATATGAATTCCATATGTTCTTCTTGACAGTTCTCTTTTGCTATGTTTTCTTTACCTACATCGCTTAAAGTGTCACGCAACGCATCTTCCATGTGCATGTCACGTCTCTTTGACTAATCTCGTTTTAGCTTTAAAGTTGTCCCATTTAATTAAAGCTCCATAGGGGCTCTACTGTTGAAATATTCGGCAATAAATTACAGATGCGCCAAATTCAGAATTCAAGATTTCCATAAGGATCTTCGTTTTCGTAATGTGTCTCATGAACATAACAAATTTATTTAATGGATCTTCGTTTTGGTAATGGGTCTTTGTTTTGGTAATGGGTCTTCGTTTTGGTAATGGATCTTTGTTTTGGTAGGGGGTCTTCGTTTTAGTAGGGGGTCTTTGTTTTGGTGGGGGTCTTTGTTTTGGTAGGGGGCCTTTGTTTTGAGGGTCTTCATTTTTAGAAACTACCATTTGTGAAGGTGTCAATCACACACCTGAGCTCCAATCCCAATGCGTCCTTCATTTAGACACTCGATTGCGTACTTGTAGCCATGACCGACCTGGCCTAGGACTGCACTTGCAGGGACCTGCACAAAATTCACAAAAATCATCAAATGTATTAATAAACCGCCAATGAAAGTAGTGTGCTGAGAGGGTGGTAACCTGACATATTGATTGTGCAAATATTTTAATCTTTGTACTGTACGTTAATTTACCGTCAAGACTTTTAGTACAAATGAAGCTGACAGAAAATTTCACACCTTCACATTGTCAAAGTGCACAGGACATGTTGATGATGCCCTTATCCCAAGCTATAATTGAAAAAAACAAAAAAAACTTTGTAAGAATTTCCAAGATATTTTAAGACAGTGTTTAATTTGTTTTATAACATAGCTTGTAAATTTGCGCAATCAAATCCAATAGTGCGAGCATGCTTCAATTTTCCATTGTGCACACTGGTGATGTTAGCAAACAAATGCCTCGCGAAAAAAATTTTTCTTGCAAGTGACTTCAGCATTTTTCATTAAAAAATGGGGAAAACTTCTGCAAAAAAGTTAAACTAGACGTGGCAACAAGCGAACAAGCCGATGAAGATCTGCCTACTTTTTCATTGGGAATGGATTTTTTAACTCCCGAGAAAGAACCCAGAGAAAGGGAAAGCAAAACAATCAACGGTTTCATCTTGTTTCGGAACTCTAGCTTCATTCCATGCATGAATTCACCTGTGAGTTTTTGACCAATCTGAGACAAGATCATTGAAGCATGGCAAAACACTTTTCTGAAACAAAATAACAACGCATTGAAGCATAGGAGAGGGAATTTCTGCCCTTTATACATAAACTACAGTGCTGAAAATGTTATAAAACAATTGGTTCATACGTCAGCTTGCGTTCATCGGGACATGAAGCACTTGGGAAGTTTGGAGAGCACTCAAGAAGCTAGACTTGCTCTCAGCTAAGCCTCGAGCAACTCTTACGCATCTTTCGTGCTCTCCAAACTTCCTGTGTGCTTCATATTATCTCAATGAACGCATGCTGACATATGAACCAATTGTTAAATTTCAGCTCTGATTCAAGCACCTACAAAAATCTTCTGATAGCACCTCTCCATCAAAATATTTTAACAGGCCATTTTCGATTTATTAAAATTCAAACTTGGCTCCAAGGCTTAAAACAAAAGAAATCGCATCAAGGTTGAGGGATAAACAATTGACTTCTTTTGTTTTATTCCTCCTTGAGCCTCAGAGCCATGTTAGAATTCTAATACATCAAAAATAACCCATTCACAATTAGTGCTTCCAACTATCAGCCAACAAACTAAGCTTACAAACTTTTACCATCTCATACCTTGTCTTCCTTTTTCCCAAGTGAAAGACCTTCAGTTTCTTTTGGGACTACAAATGTTGTTATTCCTTTGTATCCCTAATTAATGACAAAATAGAAGACGTCTATGTATAGAAACGCTGGGTGACAACACCTCTTTAAACAAAGTCCTGGTTGTTGGAAGGGCCGATAACTCTTTCCGACAGATAACTCACCATCCAGCAGATAAGTTTAAACAAAACATACTGCACAATCCACCAGACTGAAGTTTATGAGATGGATAGCACTTTCAACATGATCCATCCTTTGAACAATCTGGACCTGGTGGTCGGCATAGTACTTTTTGTTATCTCTTGTCACCAGTGGATAGAAATAGCACTATCTGGGCCTTAATGAATTATTTGTCGTACAACATATTTGATAACAAAGCAAGATAGTTGCTGATAGTTGAATCTTAAGCAATTAGGTTATTATTAGGTA